AACTCTTTTGTAGCAAACATATTTCATCTTGTGTAACTTAGTGCATCATATGAACTCATTTAAAGAAAATACTCCAAAGGTGAATGCAAATTTTGTTTTTCTTCTTTGGCTGAATCGTGGTATAACCTGTCTGAAAAGGAAACATCCGGACCTCTTCCCTTAGGTTTTGCTTTTAACAAGGGAAACAAATCTTTAAAAACTGAAATTGAAATTGTCTGATACTAAGTTTTTAGAAATCAGTATTAATGTGGTGTGTTTGTATTGAAATACTTTCTTGTGGCGTTTATATACCTGATGTGCAATGTTTGTACTTGTTTTTTCCTCTGTGTTCAGATCTTTCACACTACTACATCTGAAGAATTTACAAGGCAGCATTTGTCGGTTTTCTCTTTATGCTGCAAGATTTTGAGCAGAGGCAGGTGAAGATGAGAACATAGAAGGAAAGAGCTTCATACAACAGCGCAGATGTGGAAATTCTGCTAGTTTTGTTTGAGCTAAGCTATGTCTTTCGGCAGACGGTGCTTTAAAATACCTTTGGAGATCAGCCAGGTTAGCTGTTGCCTTTGTTTGCTAAGGAACCTATTCTGTTTGTTTGTTGATGGTGGTGCTTTTAGTAGTGAGATACCTTCCCTCCCCTTAGACTTCACCTGCTCGGATTTTCACTTCAGGAAAACAATGACTAAATTTCCGCTCTACGATAGTTCTGAGGTGCTCTGCCGCTATCCKATCTGGGACTATAATACTGCAGCAATTCCACTCTCCTCCCAGGTGAAGTTTCTGAATATGTGCTCCCATTTGCACTTTCTGCACCCCAAAAGTACCCAGCACCAGAGTGGTGGCAGCACAGCTGGATGATTTACATGCGCACACAGGCGCTGTCTGTGCATGTGTACACATCAAACGTGCGGTGCAGGAGAAGGTGACAAGTACATGCAAACCTGCCAGAGTTGTGCCCAGCATTTCCACAAACTTGCATTCAGGTTTGATGATTTTGCTTAATAATGTTCTTTTTTGAGCAGCAGTTGTGCTTTGTTCTTAGTCAGGATGTCAAATCTCATTCAGAACAAAAAGAAATGACTTAAGTGATTTCAAGTTTAGTAACTGATGGCAGCCAAACCTCCGAAGCGGCTGAGATCTGTATCTTTAGGTCCCTAATGCCACTGCAGCGAACATCAAAGAGCAGGTTCATAAAAGGACTGAGGTGCCTGAAGGTAGATGTTGTCACAGAATGGTTGAGGTTGGAAGCCAGGTACCACAACCTGCCCTTTGGGATGGAGCCTGAACGCCTCGCGCGTGGCCTGCAGCACGGGACCGTGTTTCTTATCAGCCCATTTGCTGGCTCCCAGCTCAGCAACAGTTAAATCCTGCTCTGTGGCCCTTGTGCTTCCCTGCTCCCTGTGCTGCATAAGAGTTTGCACACGTGTAAGTTAGCTTTTGGACTAGTGGTAGTGTCACATCCTTTCTCTTGCACTAGACCTAACACCATGTCTCTTCCTGCCAGGTCGCCTGTATTTTTCTAGCAGTAGATGTGTAAAAGCTGTCAAGCGCCAGCTGTTTTGGAGCTGCCCCTAGGCCAAGGCGGGTGTCTCTCTATCTTTCTTAGGAGTTCAGGCCAGCCAGTTTCCTGAAAACGTGTCTTTTGGATCACTGCCCACCCCAGAAGGCCATTACAATGAGATACATTAATTCCACATAGGCAGTCCCCTGAAGGTTGGGATACTCACCTGGGAAACAAGAGCCTCCTTCTCAAATCTTCCTTCCCTTGGTTCGAAGCAAGGCCGTGGTTCCAGTTCCCACATCCTGAGTGCCACAAGAGTCCTGCAGTGGCTTTGGCCCGGGCCTCTGCATGAAGAGCTTCCATTAGAGAGAAATAATCCCGGAGAGAGAGAAAAGGAGTCTCTCGAGCAGTGGTCAGAGCACTCGGTGGGGCTATATGAAAGGCAAGTTCAGTTCTCTGCTCCCCTGTGAGCTTGTTTGTCACTACTGATACAGAGTGGGAGTTTCAGAAAGTGTGGTTTGGGGGTTTAGCTTTAAACAGCCAACTAATAATTATAGCATTTTGCACTGGAGTTGTGTGAAAAGGTTTTTGTTTTTAATTTCTGTATCTAACCGCATATTTCAAGCCCCAGTTGCATGGGGTTTGTTAGCCTATTTTTGCTTGTCATTAAAAACCACAGAGGAGGGAAACAAGCGTGATGGATCTTGCACGTTAGTAACTGGATGCCCTCTAGCGAAACCCTGTCACGCTCTCAGCTCTATTCATTCTTTATTCCTGCAGATGAGGGAGATAGGAAAGGAGTTGTACATCTTTGTTAACAGGAAAAAAATAGAAGTGTATCCTGTAGTTGAGCAGAGTGTGAAACATCCACTGAAATTAATATTTTGGGCCTACGCAGCTGAGGAAGACCATGAACATCTGCAAAAATGACCATCTCGAGGCACCRTAACATGCCAGTGTGCAGGGGGAGCTTGCCAAAAGCACCAGCCTGTGCATGAAGTAAAGGCAAGTACTAGGTCAAACATCAAACTTTGCATTAGCCTCACAGGAGGATGTAAGGGATGTAAGCTGTGACAGAAAATGTGTTTCCACATAYCGAATGTGGCGGTGGAGAGTCCTGGCCTGGAGCACTTTTGACTGCCTGGTGCTTTCTCAAAATCCATGAGAGGTGTTTAGTGCACGTTGACTGCGGCAGGGTGTGATTTGTAGGAACTCAGTAAGGAGGCTGCTAGGCAAGGAATTCCTAGCATTTCAAAAATGTGTGATTTCACCAGCTTGTGGGACACTTGAGTTATTCACAAAGCTCTCAATGATTTTCATCTCAAATATCTCATTAAATTACTCAAATGTTAAGGCTCCCATTGTAATTAYTGCTGGGAATCTTGGCATGTGAAAGCATCTAAAAGGTTTTTTTTTTCCTTTTCCTTGCTCCCATCCTACTCTAAATACCAATGTAGATTAGGCTTTAACTAAAAAGAAGCTGCTGTTTATTTTCCAGGAGCGCTAGAAACTGATCCCATGGTTTTTGGTCTGAAATCTCGCTCCTGAATGCCTCCTGGAATGAGAGCATAGCACTCACTGCCAGTTAACTAAAAGAGCCCCTCGTAATGAGAAGCAGTGCTCCTGTCTTTTGCAGTCGCATGTGCCTGGCCAGCGTACTACTTTCCATGTGTTTGGCACAGGTGCAGCTGCAAAGAGTGAGCAGCCTTCAAAGGTGCTGCCTTCATGCCACCACCGCACAGGGAAGGCAGCGCCGTCGGGGGGTCTCAGGCTGCCGCTCAGGGTCAGCAGCAGCATCTACCCAAACCAGAGTAACCCTTCAGTTGTTCCTTCAAAGCTGACTGAAGATTGTGGGGCTGGCAGATCAAGAAGGCTGTGTGAGGTGGGGGGGAATAAAAGGGAAGAATTTTAAGTTGCACAGTGGAAATGACAGCAAAGGTTAATTTAAAGTTGTCACATGATCGATGTTTTGGAATACATAAAATAAAAACAAATGCTCTCAAATTAGGTGCTTAAAAGCCTAGTGAATTGTCCCTTGGTAAGACTTTGGTATTTAGTAAATTGCAGCTCCTCTTTGCCTTTGTACAGTGGCTGAGCAGCATGAACCCCCAAACCTGGCTTTGCTGCTGTCATGGGAGGAGGAGCCCCCCTTTGCAATGCGTTTTGGGCATCTGAGCTGGAATTGCCATTGTCAGGTAAGCAACAGCCTCCCCGATGGCGTGGGTGGGAAAGGGGCTGAGGTGGCCCCACGCCATGCCTGGGGACCCTGTGACAGGGGCAGGGCCTGGTCCCCATGGCATGAGTGGAAGCAGTAGGAGAGGGGTGCGGGGAATCGCTCTGCGCTGCTGGAACTGCCCCACATAGGGTGAACTATTTGAGTAGYCTCTAGAACAGAGGGCAGAAAAAAAAGTCTCCTGGGCAAGTTGCTAATTCATGGAGACGAGTTCCTGTTCGTAGCCCAGTGAGAAGGTGACATTCCCTCAGGGGCAGCTCTGCCCGTTCACCCCACAAACCAAACTCTCAAGCTTGCCTTCGTCAGGCTGCAGTATTTTTCTACCAGGTTCAGGAATGGAAATGCTAAAATTCTTAATGGAGTAGGTTGGACTCACAAAGATGCTGAACATATTTTGTGTAGAACCATGCCACTGCTGCTTTAGGCTGCTGGTGCATTTGTTAGTCACCAGAGGCAGTCTGTGCGGTTGAAGAGGGGGCAAAACATGCCTTGAGCTGGAGCATGAGCTAAAGCAGCATGCGGTGCTGGTTCCCTGATACGGACATGCCCAAGTTCTGCCCTAATTCAGCTGCTGCCTGGAATTCCAGAATTAATGGGCAAGGCAGACATAAAATGTAATCATCAGTAGGTAGGACTGGGTATCTTTTTCCTACCTTCAGATGTTAAGTAATGGCATTAGAACAGGAAGAGAAGRCACATGCATCATAGGTAAACGACAGTCATTAAGCTCTTCCTGTGGCAACATTAAAAAAAAGAAAAAAAAAAAGTACAGTCACTCTAATAGGCTCTGGGATTCCCCATAACTATAATTTCAAATTTCCCTTTCTGAATCTAAGTGGTTAGTACTAGAAATTTTTAATCAGCATAGTGGGAGAGGAATTATGTGCTAGACTGGTGCACCTAGGAATTTCTCTCTTAGAAAGAAAAGATGAATGAAAGATAAAAAGGTACTTGGTGAACCATGAACAGTTTTAAACGGTTCTTTGAAAATAAGGGTGACTGGTCATAAACAGGCACTGAGTCATAAACTTGCAAAACAGTTTTATTTCACACTATACAAAGATAATACACATTTTAAAAAGCTTACAATATTCTGGGTTATGTCTGCTGCCACTAAGGATGTTAATAATGGGCTTCCCAGATTGCCGAGTTTCTCAGGAAACTTGGGGTGGCTCCTGTTCTCCCACAAGTTGGAGGTACTTCTGTGCCAGTTAGAGGGGGTCTATTCGAAGAGAAAAGTTCAGGGTGCAAAATGAAGAGGGCTCGAGCTGGATATGCCCGCCTTGTTTCAGTGTCAGTGGTAATAAACTCACCAGAGGGAACACGGGTTAGGCTCAGCCCYGCAGGTCAAAGCTGACTGCCTGATCCTGAACCAGGGCCCTGTGCTAGGGAAGGCAGTGTGGCTATCCACACATCCATGATGGACTGTATACATGAGAAAGAGCCAAGAAATGAAACACTGTTCCCAAAATCAAACAGCTGTAATGGTTAAAATGAATTTGGATTTGATGCATCTTTATACATTCAGTGTTTCACTGCTGTCCAAGGTAGCAAATTATTTTTCCATTTCAATTGCAGGTTGTCCTTTGCCACTTAGCTGTAAATAGTCGAGGACMGAAATTAACCCAGGGAACCACAGCACTGAGCTTTCCTTATGTACTTAAAATAATAACATGGTGTAAAATATTTTAATGTCCTGGGAGTAAGTACAGTGGCACCATACCACATTGCCCAGCTACACAGTAAACTTTGATAAATGCAGCAGACCAGATGAACCAGGTTTCAGACAATCACAGAACTATTAAATAACTGAGCATGTAAAGATGGCAAAAGGCTCTCAGTGAAGGAGTGTATCTGGTTACCCACATTTGCTTCCCATCAGGTCCAAAAGAAGTTGCCAYGAGAATTCAGTGTTTCATACAGAAATAACTACAGGTATGCAACTGATTTTCAGAGTTATTTGTGGAAATAGAAAAAAGCRACATACCAAAAGATGACCTAAAAGACTTAAAAAGAACAGAAACTGTGCTTGTACTTTTAAGACTATACTGTATATAAGATACTTTAAGCTGATCTCCTTATTGATCTTCAGCAGCTTTAGGAAACTCAWAGCCAGCCTTTCCCTGAAACAGTGGGAGTCAGTGGGCTCTGAAATAACTTAATTGAATAGTTTTTACTCTAAATGGCAATCACTTAAATTGTCGTTAAAAGAAAGACCCTATCTTTCAGGTTCATCCTTATTCTTCATTTGTGCAATATCTCATTTCTTCTCAGTACTGAAGTGSCTCTTTCCTCAAAACATTTTTGAAACAGAAGAGTGAACCAAAAATCTGTCCTTTTAGACTTTTTTTTAATTTCATAAAATATTTTRGAGACATTAGTCTTGTTTTTTAAGTCTTTTTCAGGTCACCTTTTGAAGCAGCTCTAAAGCGAGGTAACAGACACTAATATAAGCTAGTTTTCTTCATGATTCTCAAAAATTCTTGCTCATTTACTTCTCCATCTCCATCTCGATCAGCTTCATCAATCATTTCCTAGAAGAAGTATTGTAAATTTGATCAGGCTCTGAGCTTGACTCAAAACATAAGACCTTCCATTTGTGAAAAAACAACAAATCAGAACCCCTTCATTTGCAGGTGTAATTATGTATTCTCTTGCTCTTCACACTTGTTACCCCTTAGCCCTTTTGTGTAGGCCCAGGTTTTCCCTGGAGCTACAGGATTTGACCCTGTGCCAYGTGCTGTGTGTGTCCTTGCTTGAGCAGGGTGGGTTGGGCTAGATGATCCCTTCCAACCTCGACCATTCTGTGATTCTGTGATGGTCCATGCCCACTAGGACGTGTCTAGGAAGCATTTACCTGAAGTTCTTCATCGGTTAAATTTTCTCCCAGCTCCTTGGCAACCCGCTTCAAGTTTTTGAAAGAAATCTTTCCTGTGCCATCATCATCAAATAATCTGAAAGCTTTCAGTATTTCTTCTTTGGAGTCCTTCTCACTCTAAAACAAGAATAAAAAATAATAGTTATAAYATATGTGCTACTGAGATACTGAAATGGAGTATCTTTTGATACTGATGGATACATGATTCTTTTAATTACTACCATCTTTTGTGTCATCATTGCCAAGAAGTCTTCAAAGTCAATGGTGCCACTTCCTTCTTTGTCAATATCCGCTATCATTTTCTTAATTTCCTCCTTCTTCGGCTCAAAGCCTAAAGCACGCATTGCAACCTGCACCAAAAAGCAATTCTGTTAGGATGCCAGCAGAATTCCAGGGATCCCACTTGCTACTAAAACTTACTTAATTTCCTTTCCCAAAAGGATAGCACTGACTTAAGGCAAGGAAAGTAGTCCCAAGGCTCTTACTTGCCTATTTCATCTTTCCCCCCAGCAGTAGCAGAGGTTTGATATTCTTATTACTCAGTCCTGTTTTCTCTTTAATTCCATAGGAAACATGGAGTTTTTCTTTTTGAGAATGAGAACCTTTTGTGCCTCAGGCAGAGGTTCTAATCTGTGTTTCTGGACTTACAGCTACAGGAACAGGCTTCCTAAAGGGACTGGGTTACTAAAATGGGACTTCAAGGGAGGTTGGAGAGGTGATCTCTCCCCTTTTGAAATTTAGGGGAGAAGGCCTGTTACTTTTGATTGGTCTAGAATTACATGCAGATAATTTACACACTCTGGTAGATACAAAGAGGCAAAATCCACAGCCCTAGCCCTTGGCACTCCTGTGTAATGTGTTGGGGAGAAAGAAGGACAGTACTTGAAATCAAAGACTGATTGTGTTGCTAGCCCAAGAAAAGCAAAGCAAATCTCAGCCTCATAGAACAAAAGTGCTAATGTATTAAATGTACTATACTCAAAGGGAAAGCAGTATTTAATATGGGGCAGAAGTTTTCTTCACAAAACATTTCTTCTTCTAATTCATCAAAAAATTAATATGTAGCCAAAGTTTGGTGTCTGATCAAGGCATTGTGACAGGATGACTGAAAATGTTACACTCCTTTTTTCAAAGGGGAACACTTGAGTTGTAAAATATCCACATTTTGGAAAGAATTTTTTTTTTTAAAAAATGTAGCACTAAGTGGCTGATGCTACAAAATTTTATGTCATCTTAAAAGAACTATATATTTTCACATACATACTGCATTCTAATGACAAACACTCCTTAATCAGCTCTAAGTACTTCCACAGAAATCCTCTGGGGACCCCAGACTTTTATGTAACATGCACAGAAGTGAATGCAGAGAATGTATATATGAGAAATCAAAGGCACAAAGACAATTATGGTAAAATGTCCAGGCTCTGAAAAACAAACAGAAAAGTCAAAGACATAGCTCAGTAGAAAGAGACCTGGGAATAGCTGATCCTTGCACTTGAGGGCACTTCCCCACACACATTACTTCAACCTGGATCACTGTTTTGTTCTTTTATAAATAACAAGTAGTTGGGGGATTATTATATGAAAATATGGTTGTATCATGTCTGAATATGTTCAAAATCAATGTGTTTAGTTACTGGAACAAGTATTTTGATACTGCGCAATTCATCCCAAAAGAACAGAAATCCAGTTCCCAGAAATAATGACCTTCCAGTCATGAGGATAGTTAAGAAATGGGTACTGGGAAACTGGAACAGGTTTCTTTAGAACCTSTTTCATCTCTACCCTTTGGGGTATTACGAGCTCTCTGACCTACTATCAATGTGTCAGGGAAGCCTRCTCTGAAGCAAAGCATCTCAGCTTAACCATGTTTTAAACCTCACATCCAGTCAAGACTACGAGATGTTAGTGTCGCTCATACAACAAAATCCTTTCAAATCGAGCAAGCTAGGGCTGCACAAACAGCTAACAGCTGCTAACAGCTACAACGTAGAAACTGCAGCTATTTCCAGCCAACGAAACGAAACACTTAAAAACCTTCAGTTCTTTTACGTCAATGCTCCCAGATCCATCAGTATCAAACAAATCAAAAGCTTCTCTGATCTCCTGCTTTTGCTCTTCAGTAAGTTCAGGTTTCAAGCTACTTTTCTTCCGTGGGGCTGTACCTAAGCCAGGCTTTCTGTAGTTGGATGCCTTCAGTAAGAGAAGGAGAGAAAAGATAAGCAGCTTCCTCGTAGAAAAGAACTATATATACACACACACATTAAAAACAATAACTAAAGTAACGGTAACAACACCAAAGCTGTTGTATAAGTGAGAGACGCCCTTTGCTGCAGCAGCAGGTACACAGCGGGTCGCTCCGCGTGCTTTTACAGCTTATCCTCGAAGGGSACGGGAGCCGTAGCCCTGGGGAATGGGCGGGTGAGGTTCAGGCCGGCTGCTCTGAGCGGGAGGCCGGGCGGGCGGCGCGCGGGGCTGGCAGGGCCCCGGCCCCTCCTCCCGAGGGAGGGCAGCGCGCCCTGCGCTCGGGCCGGCCGTGGCGGAGGCCTCTCCGGCCCCAGGGCACCCCGCAGGAGGGGCCTGCTCCCCTACAGCGGTTCCCCTCTGCGCTCCTTCCCGCGCCGCTTCCAGTGGAGACCCAGACGTTGGGCTGCGTTTGGCAGCAACAGGGGGCCACTCCCGCAGCCTCTCCCGTCGCCTCGGCTCCAAAAGGCGGCAGGCGCCTCGCGGTGCTGCCCGGTGTGCCCGGGGAAGCGTTGCCGCCGCCCGCGGCTTGAGCCGAGAGGCCGCGGAGCAAAGTAAGCAAAGCAAACAAAGTAAGCAAAGTAAACGGCGGGCACCGCGCTCACCATGGCGCCGCGGGCACCGCTCCGCATCGGCCGCCACGCCGCTCCCGGCGGCCGCAGCGCGCCACGCCCCGCCCGCCCGCGGCACGCCCAATCGGGGAGCTGGGCGCCGCGGAGGCTCCGCCCGCCTCCCCGTTCGGGCCAATGAGGGCTTAGCGGGGTTGTGGCGTAAAAGYGACGCGCGGCCGTCTCACTGGTTGGCATGCCGAGCGGCGGCGGTGTCTTAGCAACGAGGTGGCGCGCTACCGTTGCGACCGTTGCAACCGTTGCGTCCGTTGCAACCGTTGCGTCGTTGGCGCTCGCGCAGCTGCGGGCAGGCCGTTTGCATCCCTCTGGAGTGCGGCCGGCGCGGAGCCTCTTTGTGTAGCTACCGGWGACTAACGGAGGTGTTCTCCTCCCTGCTGGCATTTTTCCCACTTTCTACCTCTCGCCTCCAAGCAATGGAGAGCTTGTTTATTACGAACTTTTGTCTTTGGCTGTGGTAAGCCGGGAAGCTTTTTCTATAGCATTGACTTTCAGGTAGAGGAGGTAAGTGGTGATTACCACCTGTATATCTCGCGTTGTGGATGTAAGCAGAGCCATGTGTGGCTGTTTGCTGTGCACCAGGGATGGCCCCAGGGATGCAGCGTGTATGCACTTGCATTCGAAACAGTTTTATGCCACCCTTGTTGAAGTATGTTCATATGGAAAAAAAGGCCATCCCGAGTTTTCTTCTGGCAATTTAACTCTCCTGGTTAAGATGCTGTAAATCAAAGTAGTAATGCTGCTTGTTTACCGGAGTGTTTGTAAAGCTGCTTGTTTACCAGAGCACACCCTCCAAACCAGATGAGGGTAAGTATAACAAAATGTGGCAAAGGGCAAGTTGTATTTTGCTCCTTGGCTTGCAGGGATAAGTGATGAGGCAGAAAGCAGTAGGTGAGGGTGCATGTAAGCTCAGCAGACGCCTTCTGTGGTCCCTTTCATTCCTGTTCTTCGCTACTGGTTTTGCTTGTCCGTTTAGTCTTCAAGAACTTCCTCCTCTTTGCTGCTTTCCCTGGATTCTGAAGTATAACTCCACCTGACTTTTTACCTTTTACACCTTAGGCTGAGTGGAAGAAAAAGTAAAGGGCTGATGGGAAAGCAAAGTGCGACTTTGGGTCCAGTGTCTGCTGATTCCTGCAGCATGTTAGTTTGGTTGTTCTTGCCAAAGCAATATGCGCAAAAGAAAAGGGGGGAAAATATCACAAGATCATAGATCACATATCTTGCCAGAAGTTGCGCAAGCAGCAAAATAAAACCACTTTTCCTGTAAGCCCAAACCCTGCCCTCATGTCTGTTTCTGCGGCCAAGCCTTGGGTCCATTTGGTCTAGTTCTGCACAGGATCTGTTCTGTAGGATACAGGCCAATATCCAATCTACAGTTTCAGAGCCTCACCAAAAGCTAAGGGGGAGGACCACGTTTTTCAGATGAAATTTCAGGAAAAATTTCAGTTAAGCACCTTGTAGTTGGTTGCATCAAGTTTTGCTGTAAATGTGTTGGCTTTAMAGAAGGTCTTGCACCAACCCTGATTAATTCAGAAATTAAGAGCCAGAGCCCTGGCTTTCCATTAACTGAAATAAAAACATGCTTTTAGTCTGAGAATAGCTTATACTGCTGGTCTGCACCTTTGTTTAGGAGCAGTGGGGAAGTAAGTGGTGGAAAGTAGAAACCCTTCTCCCCAGATCCTTATAATATGCTGAGAACCTAGACAGACCATTGTTTGGCCTCTTTTGTCTAGTTAATTTATTTAGATTAATTCTTAAAAGATAAAAGGGGGGAGCATTAGTTTAATCTATGTGGTCGAAAAGGAGGGAGTGTTAGTTTTATGCATATGGTCTGCCACAGCACTGTGGCGAGAAGATTTCAAAGGAAAGAAGATTTTTATTTTTGACTGAGTAGAAGACCAAAACGTTGAAATCTTGACTGTTTGCTGTGTGTGAGACATAAGGAAATGGCATTCATTTTGATATATGTGGAATAGAGTGTTGGTGTGTGTTAAAAGGAGTAGAGTTGGAGTAAAATCAGGTTGATTATCCCTTTCAAGATTTGACTGCCAAAATCAATGACATAACTCTTTGTACTAAGATGTGTCTGTAGCGAGGGCTTGGGTTGCGCGTAAAGGTTTCCTTCCTGYCCTGTGGAACTCGTGCTCTAAGATGAGTGAAATTCCAGGTAGCAGGCCAGGGGAGGAATGGCAGTACTGTAAAATCTGYACTGCTTCATGCTTAAGAAACCACTGGAATTAACAGCATTTTKCTATATGCCAAGGGAAATTTTTTCCATGGCATTTTAGTAATGCATCATTTCATTAACTGCATCCATCAATGTCTCATAATAAGCACACTGGATAAAGGACCGTTTCATGCAAAGTGCATCACAAAAGGGCTGTGTTTGGTGTTAGCTTGTTAATTTTTTTTTTGTATTTATTCTCTGGAGAACTGCAAGGATGGGGCAATAAGTTTGTTTTGTTCACAGATGCTGTGTGCTGGCCATGGCTTTCAGGGAAATGACTGCGAGAAGGCATGTTGGACTGGAGCAGCTTTCCGCCTTTGCATTAGCTGGAAGAACACTGCTGGGGCCAGTGAAGTCGTGCAAGTTTGTTGTGGATGAAAGCACCAACCAGAGCATATTGACTTGTTCTGCAGTCAGACTGATMGAAAGTTTGGATTTAAGCAGTGCCACTGGACAGCTTCTTAATGAAACCATTCAGGCACAGAACAAGGAATTTAAAACTGGGATGAGTAGCCTGTTGTTTCTGGTCGGCGCGTGGAGCAATGCTGTGCTAGAGTGCCTCGAGCAGAACGTGCCTGTTTCAGTAATAGTGTCTGTGATGGCTGAGGGCTTGAACTCTTGCTGTGAGAAAGTTCAGTGTCTTCAGCGATCAATACATGATGTAAATAAAGAACTATGTTCCAACAGCGCTAGGACAAGTGATTTTGAAAAGAAGACTTTCCGCGTTAGGTCTAACAGTCTCCTAAATCCTCAAGTGTGTTTTCAGAAAGGTATTTCTGCGTCAGAAGAAGTTGCTGTTCCAGGAAGYGTTCATTCCTGTCCAGAAGATAGCTGTAATTTTAGTACCAGCTGTTCGGTTTCAACTTTGTCAGACTTTGGTTCAGTAGCTTCCCTCATCAAACCGAGGGATGATGAAAGTAAATCTGTGATTTCTGGAAGTGGCATTATCACATCCAACTGCAACAAAAAGAAATTAAGTCACAGTAGATACTTCAGCRCTCTAGCAAAAAGCAATTTTTCAAGCCAGCTAAGCAATTGGGAGGATTATCTCTCAGGGCAGCCAGCATATCCTTGTGAGTGTAATGGTTTTGGACATTTGGCAATGGCTCTGAGCCACGGGAATGCAACTAGCCTGAAACTGCTACAGAACATTGTTGCATATCGAAAACAGCAAGCTGAGTGTAATGGGTCTTCCCAGCTTAACGTGACAGAAATTGTGACATGCTGCTTACTGGGCCTGCCTGAAAGTTATTCTTGTGTTTGCCCAGGCTTTATTACGTTAGTATCTCCAGAACAAGCCTCAGTTGTCAAATACCTTCAAGACAAAGCCCTGGGGCTCCTGCTGATGGATGGGGACCTGACTGAGCAGTATCGTCACTTAGGTTTTAATAGACCACGTAATGTGAGGACCATATCAGAGCAGCCCAACCTGCAGGAAGGCAGCCCTGGAGATGCGTGGCTGAGCAGCACGCTAGACATTCTAACACATTTTGAAGTCAGCTTGGTTTTGGTCAAAGGAAACGTGTGTGAAAAACTGATGGAAAGGTGCCTGGCAAACAACATCCTGGTGATAGGTTCTGTGAAACCCCATGTGCTACATGCATTTGAGGATGCCTCGGGCGCCCAGGCAGTGCAGTACCTTGCTCAGCTGCATGCCCGTTACGTCGGGCACGGGGCCCGTGTGCAGCTGTGGAGAGCCTGCGACGGGCGTGCGATGGAGCTGCGCGAGCTGGTGCCAGTCAGGATAGACGTGCAGGGAATTCCCCTGCTCACAGCTGTGCTCACCACTACCGTCGCTGCCAAGCTGCAGCTCATTGAAGACCAGTTCTGGACTTTTGTGTACCGGCTGCATCATGCTTTAGATGAAGGGAGGGTTTTTCTTGGTGGCGGTGCAGTTGAGCTCTTGTGCCTTAGTCACACTCGGATGCTTGCAGAAGAGTCTTTGACGCCAGCAAGAACAGATGCTGAGAAAGAATTTCACAATCCTTCTTGGCTGGCAGCATCTTTGACCGAGTGCAAGTCAGTTGTGCTCCAAGCATTAGGAAGTGGCTGGATCCAGTATCTTTCAACAGTTCTGTGTAACACTGCAAAAGCAGCTTCGGGCTTTGAAGCACGTACCTTGATCGAATGCCACCTCAAAAGAGCAGCTGACTGTGGCTCTCCCTCAGCATATATACTGAAAGAGTTTAGAAGAGGTGGTTTGGTCCAAGGTGCTTCTGATCCCTTCACTGACCCTGCAGAGGGTTTCAGCGTTTATGACAATGTTGGAGCCAAGGTGGAGGCATGGCGGAGAGCTCTTGACTTGGTGCTGCTTGTGCTTCAAACGGATGCTGAAATTATCGTGGGTCCTGAAAGGAATCGGCTGTTAAACTCAGATGTATCCAGTGAATTTGTATTTTTATAGGGCTTGCTGCATGCAGGCTTTATTTTTCAGTCTGCGCGTCAGTAGATAGAAAAAAAAAAATCAGGTAAAATCAGTATTTCTGCATAGCTTCTAAAGTAAACACATAGACGCGCAGTTACAACATTATAGTTTARCAGTGGAAATCGTCCTGTGAAGCCTTCACAAGCTAGATCTAGTTTGCAGTTCTGAGTAATGAAATATGGAGATATAAGTCTAGTCCAGTGGACTTCTCTCATCTGGTTTAGCAGAGCAGGTGTGCAGTTCTTTTCCTTTATCACCTGCCCACTTACTGTCTGTCCAATTTAGTTGGAGAAAGTTTGGTACCTTAGATACAGTTACACACTCAATGTGTTCTACCTGTATGTGTTTGGACTTGGGAACTGTAGGTCATTAATATTTAATGTTTATTAAAGGAGGGCAGGGACTTCTTAGATGATATTGGTATATTTGCCTACTTGTCTGTATTAAATGAGACTATATATAAAGATGTAATTCATAACATAATATTATTTATTGACATAAACATAAAACATGTTTGTAAATATCTTTCAGATATTACATTGCAAGTGTAAGAGTTAATTTATGAGTGTTATATCTTATAAGTGATTGCATTAATAGGACCTGCTAGTGCATGCTTATTTGGGCAATATTTATTTTTGAAATATATGCCTTTTGGAATTTTTCAGCTCAGTACAACTTCAGGCTGAAACATCCATTTGATATTAAAGAGTGGATGCATCTCTGCACAACATTTTATTTTACTTAGCGAGTTGGATTTCTAAGGTTATTTCCTTTGGGTTTGTTTGGTTATCCTTGTAGAGAGAAAGAATGCAGTTGTATTGCCAGAACTAAGTAGTATGTTGGCTAAATGAATGAATAATTTACTATGAATCTATCTGGCTTATTGAGGCAAGAACCTATTACCATATTTTAGCACTTAAATTTGCAAGCATTGCCAAGGAGAACTTGTGTCTTGTGGCAAGAAAGAAGTGGAGCTTTTGTGGAGATGATTTTCTGAAACTGGTGTTTTGATTCATGCTTACAGTGAATGTCTTATGAGTCAGGTGAAGGCAAAATGGAAAAAGAATGTAAACAGTGGTATGAAAGCTGATTCCCGCTTTCAGGATTTTTTCTTTCACTGACTAGAAGTCCTATTTTCATTTTTATTAATATGAGATTCTATCTAAATGCATTTCTGTCTTAATGTATATTATAATAAATCATATACACTCAGTTCTTTCGCAGACCTGTTTACCTAAGTCATTCATATTAAACGAATAACTGATGTGTTCAGCATATAATGAAAAGAAAGATGCGGTAAATGAAATTAACTATATATTTAGATACATGCACGTAATACACACATAAAAGCAATGTTACATTTCCAAAGGTTACATTGCTCTTTTTCATGGTTCTTTATTTATACATTCTACTCATGTGTAAGTGGAAGGCTCTTAAGAATGAGAAGGTTAAAGGAGTGTATTAATTACAGTTCTTTCAGAAAATGTAGATTTCTTTTTCCGTATCTTGAAAACTATTTTCGTAGTATTTGGCCATCTCTAACCTGAAAATGTAGATTTTTTTTCCTAACAAATTCCAGAATTCAGTGGGTTCTGGCAAAATATTCTCAATGGTTGAGGAGTTTATGATTTTAACGTGAAACAATAGCCCCTAGCAGCATAGGAATCTAATTTAGACTGAGTTTTAATCATTGTGCAATTATATTTTCATTATTAGTCCATTGACAGTTGGTGTTCAGGTGCCTGGCTATACTCCAGATATTCCAGGACATGCGAGAGGAGGAGTTTGATGGATCAAGAAACTGAAGGAGCTAATCGATGCTAGGTGAGAAAAATAGAAACACAGCATGTAAATATAAATGGACACTGCTTCTCTGCAAATTTTTAAAACTCAGGCTTGGCTTTATACTGTTTTTCTTGAGTCTCCTGTACTGAGCATTGCATAATCCCTGCTCCCAAGAAAAGATCCAATTGCACTTGATTTGAATAATAGAAGTTGAGTGGGTTATGGAAAAGCTGCATAGAAGGGTTGTGTTGAAGTGGTCCAAATGTCTATTTATAGGGCTCTTAGACATTGAGAGCTGACACACCAAATGTTGAGAAAATCCAAAATGATGTAATTTTTCCAAGCAGGCTTTTAAAAAGCACATAATGGTACATTTAAATATTGCAGCACAGTAATTTTTTATAACTCTCAACCATTATATTTTGATTATTTAACTAACTTTTCTGTAGGCCAACCAAATAGAAAATTTTATAAATGAACTAGGTATTGTATTCCAGATTATTTTAATGGTAGTAGGAGGGCGCAGTCTGGTGGGGTTAAGGTATTTCTGGAACTTCAAGGGGTAAAAGGGAGAACCTAAGCTCGCATGGGAGTTGGCAGAGTTTGAGGCAGTKTAGTTGTGCTGACTTTCTTTTGATGTCCCTGGCCAGGGTTTCTGCAGAGGCTGGGAGGAGGCTTTTTGCAGGGGGAAATCTAAACTCTGAGAAAAGTTAGTGATGAGAGTTTTGCAACTCTGCTCACAAGGAAGAGGTGACTGCTAGAGCTGTCTGGCCACCAGCTGAAGGAGGACTGAGCCAGAGGGTGCCTCTCTTATCCCGAGGGGTAAGTTGTCCTGTCCAGGCAGGCAGGAATTGTGGAGACAAGAAGCTTCCAGTGAATTGAAGCTTCCCACCTGGTTATTACCCACTTCAAATAGTGGAAATCAAGTATACACCTAGATAAGGAGCAGTTAAGATGCCTACGTTAGCATTATACTTAGACTGAGATGCATAGAGGAGCATCAGCTGTAGTGTGGTAGTGTTATATCTGCTCATTCAGGGAAAAACATACTTTGCTCTTTCACTTGGGAACATCCCTTCTCTGGCACGTTCCCTTTGCTCATGTTGGGATCTGTACTTCCTAAGACTAGAAAATTACCTTTTGACATCTTAATGGAGTAAAATTACAAAAACAAACAGAAAAATATTTTTGTACAGTCTAAAATGGTGCTATCATCTATAATTTATATCTTACGTATTCTCTAAGCACCCACAGACCCCTGTAAAGTGTCTCTGTTTGGAAGTACAACTAGCATCCTCTAATTTAATAGCAAACAAGTTTGCTGTCATGTCTGCATGGGGAAGCTACCTACCATTCTTTTTTTCCCTTTTGAATGTTTTRATATATTCTTGCCGGTGTCTGATTTTCCCCAAATGCTGCCAGCGTGCATCTTGTCCCATGGCATTAGGAAGATTCTTTGTCAAAGATTTTCTGCTGTGGATCAAAGTGAGCAGGGATCTTTGAGCAGCCTTGCAGCAAGGACAGGCCTTCTGCTGTGGAAATCTGGCCAGCTTCCCATARCCAACGCAAGCAGGACACCTAGAGGAATTCACCTTGGAGTCACACCAGCTCTGCAGGCTAAAGAATGAGTGAAATGTCTGCTTACCTAGTTTTTTAAAAAAAATCTCATTTGCATTTAAGCTTCTTTAATAMCCTGTTAAATGACAGTCAGTCAAAAAATGGCAGAGCTATTGCTTTAAGGATAGGCTTGCTGCCTGTTCTTGTGCGTGGGCTCGTGTGCACTTTTAGGGGAACCTTTAACAACAGACGTGTATTTTAAGCCTTACTTTTTTGTACAAGGAGAATTGACAGAGTCTTTAATTGCTGAATTGTTTTTCTATGGCTACCCTAAAATACACAGATCTGGTACTGACTGGATATAAATGGTCTATTTATGTAACAAAAATGCTAGTTTCATGGGATATTTTTACTGTTTGAATGGCTCAGGGTGTGACAAGGTGCTCTGACGTGTGACACAGATGATATTTACTCTAGCCTTTGCACAACCCCTTTTTGTTATTTCTTTACCTTGGGAGTTGAGCTAACTTTTGGTAACTTCCAGAATGTGACTCTCTGCTGCTCTTTCCACAACTCTTTCCGCAATTGATTGTAGGTGTATGATCTATTGATTATAATTTGAGGCATAGAGGGAGTATATTCCACCATCACAGTTTGAGCTCAATTTCCCGAAATTGCAGTTAGAGCACAGTTCCTGGGGCAGACTTGGAAAATCAAAAACCCTGAGCCTGACCAAAACCTGTCACTTGCCAATAGTGCTGCTGCATTAATTGACTTTTATTGCAAAGACCACACAGGACCACAACCCTTTCCTTTCAAGATGGTTCCTAGACCTGCTAGGAACGAATCTGCTCTCCGATAGGGCTTTTTCTCACCTCTCCAAGCTAGCGGCCAGAAGGACAGGGTCTGTGCCATTGAAAGAAGGCTGAGAACATCTCAAGCACGTACAAGCTGGACACTGGTTTGTTCCTGACTGGCAGAAGGAAGAAAAGAATGCCCTGCTCCATCTGTTTGGGCTTCCTGTCTGCTTATTCCATTAGTAATATCCATTTCTTCAGACTTTTGAAAACACCCACAGTAGTTTCTTTAGCTGCATTTCAGTGATGATCTGCTGTTAGTTGCATTATGTTCCTAAAGACTCGGTTACTTGCAGTTTGGAAATGCACTTGGAATTTGTAGCTCTCTGTGTGTGCGGCTTTGTATGTTCGGGACTGTCGTGCTGTGAGCCAGACTGAATGCTGAGATAGGTGTAGAGGTGACCAGTGCCCAGCAGGGCTGGAACTGCTGGTTACTTGCAGCACAGGAAACCTCAAGAACATCAGCTGAGCTGGAACCTTTTGCAAGGACCTTTGCCTATCCTTAGAGATACTTGCAATGCTTGAAGGAGCAGAAAGGGAGAGGAAGGAGCATAAACGGAGGTAGCGGTGTCTGAAGCACAACTGTGCTTCTCCTGCAAGCCCACAGCTGGTTTCTTGCAAGCTCCTGCCCACGGTGTGTCTGCCAGCTCCTGCAGCGGGAGAAGCTACAGCTCCTTCATGTTAAATGATCTACTACCTTTGTACTCATAAGGTGCCTGGGTTGCTGGCTCCATGATGAGTCTTCTTAGTAAGCACACCACTTCCATTGGAAGAGGGGAATCTACTACTACTGACAAGTAAATGGACAACTGGATTTTTCAAATGTGTGCTACCAGATTTCATAGTTATATTCAGCTAATAAAATGTGTCACTCTTAAAAAGAGAGCCTCTAAGTCCTCCCTGCAGGATTAGGCAGGAAAGATAGCTGCCTTGTGCCAGCACTTGGCAGAGTTTCAAAACAGAAATAAAAATGTTTGTAGAGGGAAAGGAATTCTCAGGGATCCAGTGCTACCCCCAAAAATAGATTTTTTTTAAAACTGCTAAAGAGTAAAATTTTTAGAGTGTATAAGGCCACATGTGGTCTTTATTGTCCCTGGCTGTCCTTTGCTTCAGCTCCAGTCAGTTGTTTGGTGTTTAGTGCTGTGTTTGTGTTCTTTGTTGTGAGACGAAATACAGCAGATTTGGAGAGGTGACTAAAAATAGCACAACTGGTGAACTGATTTATTTCCTGGGCATAATCTGAGTCACTGCTTTCATTGACTAAAGTTAAACAAAACAAATCCTACTTGTTACTATTGGAGAGCCAAAATAGCTTCAGACAAGTTGTATAATTCTTTTATATATATATATATGTATGTATATATGTGTATATGTATATATAAATAAAATATCATATATTTATATATAAAAATGTATGTGTGTAGATATGAAAGGGTGTCTTTCTCAATTTCACAGTGAGAAGAAGCATAGAATTAGGGGCTATAAATATATATATTTGTTATATGTGGGTATATATAGTGTGTGTATATCCATATGCATGGGTACCTATAAGCAGGACTTAGACTAAGATCTTCAGTTATCAACACTAACCTTCAGTTGCAAATTCTGAATAAGGACATTTAATCTCTTTGCTTTCTAGTTATGTCAAAGAAAATGGAAATCCTTCCTTTCTTAGAGTGTCTGTCTCCTATCAGCAAATCAGAATTATGTCAAAGAGCAGCCTCCTATGGAGAGAGACTCCTCTTCCTCCCCAGTTAATGGGAAATAAAAATTCTGTCCTGTCCTTGTTTGCTGCTTGCTGCATTTACAATTCTTGCTGTGGGTTGCAGCTCAAGTGATACGCATGCTGTGCATGCACTGCTTCAAGGGAAGTGCCCAAGAACTAAGCTACATATATGGTTCCATATCAGGATGATGTCATGGAGTCCCTTCTGTGATACACATCAAACTAATACTCCCGCAGCAGTGTAAATATGCGTAGCTAGATCAGTTTAATTAACTGGGGAAACTCTTTCTAATGTAAAATTATTCCAGTTTCTCAAACGKGTCTTTCTTAGCATATGGGGCAGTTAGTTTTGAATATATTACTTCTTACACCCTTCCTCCCTTGCCTTAGTTGGTGTAAGCACTGCTTAAATAACCATCCCAAGCTTAACATTCAAGTTCTTGTTCTGGGAAACTTATTTTCTGGAGCCATTTAGTTGTGGCAGTAAGCTCGTGGCTGCCAGAAGCCAGGCAGATCGGATGTAATTGCTAGCAAGAGAACTTCACTGGAAAAGGATCCCTAATCTTGCTATGTTTATCTGAAGTACCAGGCAATTAATTAAAAAAGACAAAAGGGCTTTGAATAAGATTCTGCCTTTGCAATTACACTAGCCTGTAGTATTAGACATCTCAAAGCAGTGGTGTGTGTAAATAAGGTAGATGGAGCTGCCAAACATCAGATCTGTGACTAGTATACTAATATGGGAATGGCTCAGAGCGCTCTTCTGCAGTGATTAATGCTTCAGACTCTTCCCAAGCAGAGCTCTAGGAGGACCTTCAGACATCCAGCTTCTGCACAACCAGTCATAAGGCCAGAGGAAGAAGAGATGAGCTTCAAGGCCAGGAGAAACACACTGGTAATTTACTAAGAGTCCCTGGTTTGGAGTCAACAGGTAAGGGCAGATTTTATTGCTGGAGTACTTGTAATCCAAATAAGATGTAAAGCATATTGATATGTCATCCTTTTGTAGGAGAGAAGTAAATCATCAAGGAAATGATTCGCCAAAAAAAAAAAGATTTTCCAGTGCAAAAGCTGGAAAATGACTTGAAGTTGGTCATTCCAGTATCCTGTCTTATTTGTTTATGTCTGATTATTAGACTCATGCTGAGGGAAGGTCTGCCAGAATTCAGGAGCTAGTTTAAAGTATGTGACTTCTATCTATGCCAAGTGGTGCTGCTTTAACTATTAACTTGCATGTGAAAGAGAACTTTAGACTGCCCAAGGGCCTGACATTTGGAGTTAACTCATGGCCATGAAGTGAAGAGGTGTTTTACAAATCACGTTAATATTCCCTGCTCTCCCTCAAATGTTCACGTCCATCTTTCCCAGCTCACAAGTTAAAATAGGAGTTGTTATGAGTTGGATTCTCAAATGTTCGTGTCCATCTTTCTCAGCTCTTGAGTTGAAATAGGACTTAGGAATGGGATTTTCTTTTAAAAGGCCTGTCAAGCTGTTTTCTTCCTGTTTCGTGTGTTGCTATGAGCCTCTACCACAAATTCAAGTCTTGGATGAGAGTTTGCAGATGCTTTTGCTGATGTGTTTGTGTGTGACAAGATGTTCTTTCACTGATAGACTGTTCTCCACTACAGACCAGGAAATTGGAGGGCAGGGCGAAGTTCTGCTTTGCTGGTAAATCAATACAGAAGCAATCTCTTTTCCATTAAAACCTCAGTAAGGTTTCCATTACTTTAGGGAGAAAGAAACTTGGTACTCAAGAAACATAATATTTCAACAACATGATACTCTCTCTCRGCTCTTCTGAGTGCTGGAGAAGTGTGTCCTGATGATTTTGGTTAATGGAAGGAAGTGTAAAGTTAGGAACTGTAAATGAGAAATGCAACCTTCATTAAAAGCGACTGCTTCTCTGATGAGCCTGTTAAAAGCCCTAATAGCAGTTATCTGTTTGCAGAGGAGTTAAGTACTTAATGATGACCTGAAAAAATTTACTTCAGAGATGCAGTAGATAGAGCTYTGCTTTCCACTAAAGTATTTGATGTGGAATAAGGGCCCAACATCCCCAGTAATGCAAGGATGTTTCCTGCAGGGGATGTCACTTAGGAGGGCCAGCCTCAGGGGGCAGTCATATCCAGCCGTACTGACCTGCTTTTATCTTTAAACTGCAGATYTGTGGGGAAGACTTTTGTTCTGTTTGTACAGTGTGCAACAAAATGAGACATTGGGTAATGATTAGAAATCAGAATTACTGAAACAGTGTATGATGTTTTAGAGTCGTCTGAGATTTGGCTGCCTCACCCTGAAAGGCATTTCCTTGATTTAGAAACCTGATAGAGTYGGTGGAATTTGCCTAACAGCCTCCTGCATTGTTTGACCATACAAATGCCCACAAATTTGGTCTCCAAAAAAAGAAGGTTTAGGGCTCTAACAGAGTAATTCTTGAAGGGTAGCAGCAAACCTGGACAATGCTGTAGCTCTTTTCTGGCGTTCAGGGTAAGGATGAAACCACTGTAGTTACAGTGTGCCAAGCAGAGCTACCAGTAGTCATCCAACATACAGTGCAAACTTATTTCAGCAGAACGGTTCCTGTACATGCAAACTGGCAGCTTGGAATGAATGTCCTCTTTTTAAATCATCTGGACATGAAATGAGACTGCGGTGTTTGCATGACTCTATTGCTGCAGGCTTGAGGAAAATCCTTACCTCTTCTGTTTCGTTTTGTTCTTTTTCTTAGTGGAAAYTTAAATTACTTTTTTAGAGCTATGCTTTCCTCTGATTTTGTCTGACTCCTCTGCTCTGTTTGCTTGTGAGTTCCCCAAATTAGTAAGAGAAACATTCTAGTTTGTAGTCCAGTAGGAAAGAATAACTTGACTTTTTTAAATGTAATAAACAGTGCAAGACCTGGAGCAAGTACAAAACCATCAGGCAAGGTGAAAGCCCCCAGAAGAATACCACTATTCAAAATGTCTGTGGATGTCTGCAAATATTGCCAGGAGCTTAGGTCTTCTCCTTTGCCTTTCCAAACATGTGTATTATTTTTTTCTTTAAAAATACATACCGTAACCTTGAACTCTCCCATGCTCCTAGTCAAAGAAGGTAGTATTTCCTTTAGACTGGTTGATTCATAGGTAAAATAAAATCTGTGAGACATTATTTTGGTCTTGGTTATTTCCTTTTGTGATATTGGATGGAAAACAGACCTTTTCAAAAATACAGACTTTGAAAAACAGCAAAGACTTCTAACTCTGGATGTTTTTYACCTTAAGCTGTAAAAATAAACTGCCTTTAGTTATGGTTCCTTTAGAATGTATTCATACCAGGTTTTGTTTTCTTTGTTTACAGACTCATGGCTTTGAACAGAAAACCTGGGTAAGCACAGCAGGTGAGTTTTAACCTAAGACATCTGTCTGGAGAAAAAAAAAAGATCTCAAGAGAAGATACCCTT